CCAGGACAGGGGCAAGGTGCGCACGCAGGTGTGGGGCTGGGGGTGCCCGTCTACTCCTGGATGGGCCCCCGTCTTAGGGGTGTGCAGGCACCCAAGCCGTTGTGCGACAGCGTGCTTGTCGTGGAGGGTGTGTGTTGAACCACTGGGTGCACGAGCACCTGAGCATCCTGGTTATGGGAACCTGCGTAGCCTGCTGCCCATGAGCTGCCGTGTGTCCATGCATTTGTCCTCTTATCCATGTTTCTGTGTGCGTGTGTGTGGATGCAGAAGGGGGACTTATGCACAAGAGTGCGTCCATGCATTCGTGCACGCCCAGGTGTGCTCATGGAGAGGGCCTGCGCAGATGAGTGCGCATCTGTATAACGGAGATGCGTGCTTGCACGCTTGGATGCTTGCAGAAGGATGTGAGTCTTTGCATGTGCTTGTGGAAGCATGCAGGCGTGCATGTGTGTGCAAGCTGAAGTGTGGTGTACCTCAGTGACTGTTTTCCATCTGTGATTTTTCATATTTTATCCAGTTTCATAGAATTCAAGGGTAGGGAGCAGATGGTCCATCAGAGTGCTACCTAGGAGCATGCAGGGACCTGCTGTCATACACAAGTGCTTATGCACAGGGAACTATGTGTCTGTATGTAGGTACATATACACAGGTGCATGTCAAAATCTCACAAGCGCTTGGATATTTTCATGTATGTATGTGTATGAAGGTTTGTGCTAAGATATTGACTGTCTATCTGCAAAGAATATGCATATTTGAATGTCAGTTTGACAGTGTATCTGAGTGTGCACCCAGGTGCACAATTTTTATATGTGAATAGTCTGAGGAAGCAGTTTTGTTTGTAAAGTCTGTGGTAAGAGGTGTAGCGTGTGGATAGCAAAATGCCTTGTGTCAAGGTTAGAGAAGCATGTTGCCTGTATCATAGATAACAGAGAAAATGTGCTTGTCTGTTCACATTTTATCAGTGTAATACTGACTGTATTACTGGGAGAATGTTATGTGAAAATTTTATTAAAAAGTATAGATGTCACGTGTATCTTCACATCTGTCTCGTACAGCTACTATGTCAGATTAATATGTATATTTGTGTATTTGCATACATATCGTATGTCTGTTCTGCAGTGCTTTCATTTACCATCTGAGAATGCATGACTGCACATTTTTAATTGGGGAGCATATGTAGACCGATTGGGAAGTATAGCCCATTATGATGTATGTGGTATATGTTTTGTAGATCTAGTCTTGTGGTACATTGATTCTTATTGCTCAGTGACAGTAGGTAACAATGGAAGACAAGTTCTTTAGCTGAAGATTTCCTACTAATATGGCATATTTTCATCTGTCAGTTTCCTATGGTTTCAATAGTTAGTGTCATCTCCTCAAAGTCTTTAAAGGACTGAATTTAATGCCACGCTAATGACTCTGTCTCGCTACCTGGTTTGAATGATTTGAAGAAAGCCTGTATTTAAAATTTTATTCCTTAATAATATTTTTAGATGAAATGTGAAACAAGCATCAGGGCAAGAGTTCTCACATTGGCCACTATGCCTCAGTCTGTGATCTAAAGGGAGCAGCTCCAGTGGGAATGCCAGGATAGTTCAAACTCTGGACGTATTTGCTGGTTGACTTGTCAGATATCAGTGCCAGTAGAGGTAACGTTCACGGTGGCACTTTCATTTTCCCCAAGACAAAGACTATCAAGACCTTTATAAACCTCCACTCAAGCTGCCGATCCAGTGATAACATTTATTATTCAGTCAAGCTCCATTTGGAAGCTGAACTCAAACTTCATCCAGTTAAGTATGTAACTTAACTAAGATAGTTTTCCTGCCCAGTTCATAGTTAATTATCTATTAAAAAAAAAAGGCAAAAAATATGAAAGATGTTTTATTAATGACAGAATGATGAATGCACCAGGATTCACTTTGGGAGTTTAGTTATGGGACACATGTCAGTCATTGCTTTTCATGTATCCCAGAAGATAGCAAGCCTGATTTGATGTCATTAGGTTTGAAGCTTTTTAATCAATATTTTTTTGAAATGGTCCACTGTTACAGCAGCTGTCATCCCATTCAAGGTCCCTGTGGCCATTCTGAACAGGGTAATTATAAGCTTGAAAAATTGTTGAGGCCAAAAAATGTTGAAGACCCTAACAGATTAAGAAACTAAATTTTATTCTGTTTCCTCTGCTATGTGGGTTTTGCAAATAAGTTGTATATTGCTCCACAGAATTCTGTCGTGGGGTGTTAACTGCCATTGTTGTAGGGGCTTCAGTTTGGTTAATTTTTAAGGGAATCAGAAGTCAGCGCTGTGTTGAAAACCATATAAATCAGTTCTGCGTGTCACACGTTCTTTTAAAAAACTGTTAAATGTGCTTTGTATTTTGATACGTTTCCTATAATCACAGGGAAATGGCAGGCAAGAAGAAAGAAACCCAGCTCCAGGTATAAATCCTAATTACTTGAACAATTCTAGAGATGAATAAATTTTTTTCTGCCTTTTTAAGATGTTAAAATGTCAATTCATTTTATTTCAGGCCATAATAACCAATCAAAGCCAGTGGGATGAAATGTTGCTGACAAAAGGTGTAGTAGGTACTAACTGTTACTATTTTCTGTTTAATCTCTCATGAAGGCATTTACAGTTTTTCATACTTATATATCATGTCATCTTCAATAGGTACTTGTCATAAATCTAGAAGACTAGTGCCATATTATCTTTTAAAGAAAGGTTACATGAATGTATTTATAAATGTATATATTGTGTTTATGAATATATACTGTCTTCTCATAAATAAACACTTGTCACAAATCATATTATCCATTATTTTATGCACTGCTACAGACCGATGTTTAGAAAATACCTTTCCAATATGATATTCTGTATGGTAGGAGGTAGGACACTTCTGTGGAAGTTTTTCCCTAAAATCTTGTACAGACTAAATTAATATTGTACAGTTGTACTTAGCAGTTAATCGGTCGGGATTCTTGAGAGTGCGTGTTCTATGATGTGTATTATTCCCAGTTTTCAGTTTGCTCAGTCCAGTAACAATGTCTCCTAGGTCTCCTAGGAATTGTATTTGGGTAGAAGGAACAAATCTGTAATGGGATCATATCTACGGAGGAGTAGTAATGGGAAAGAAATGATCTGCATAGGTTCATGGAGGTAAAAATCCTGCAGAATAAAGATCTAGATAAGAATGCAAATCAACAGTGGGAAAAGAAAAAGAATGACTAAAAGGAAAAGGAATATGAGAGAAATGTAGCTGTTTGGATTAATCATCTCAAATAGTATTGTGAAGTAGGTTGTTGATGTCAAAAGTAATTGAAATAAAAGAGGAAACAGTGATGTATCCACTGAATACATTGATGTGTTCATGCTGCATTCATTGACTAGGAGAGGACTGAAAGATGCATATGAACGTCTTCCCAGTACTGTTCCAATACACTCATAAATATGTCTCATTTTATAAGTTCCACAAGTCAGCTGTTTGTAATTCCAAACTATTACATTTTAGTAATAGATGTGCATCAAGCTTGGTGTGGTCCTTGCAAAGCTGTGGTGAATTTATTCAGAAAACTGAAGAATGAGTTTGGTGAAGACGATGTGTTGCATTTTGCAGTGGTAAGGATGTAAATTCTGTATGGAACTTTATTTACATTTTATTTTAAATACATCTTTTTATCTGTTTGCATATACAGAGCTTTCATTTTACTGTTCTTATACCGGGTGGTCATAATTTTGGCCTGATTGCCTCTTCTTCTGCATATCTCCTCATGAGATTTTGTTTAGAGGTAGATTAGAAATGGTAATAAATATGGAAGGAGCTATAATAGAAAGGAAGCTGATATCACACAACTTCTGTTTTCCTTGATGAGATTGCAGAAACATTCAAAAGCTGGACTATATGATTTTTAGTTTTAAGCCTGTATATTATTATCACATTTAAAATTCTTACATCCCTGAAAAATGCTGTTACACCTTTTTCCCAAATATTCCCTTGTATTTCATTTTTAAGAGAACAAAAAGGGGGAATTAAAAAATAAATTATCACTAAACTATAATAGTAAAAGTATTCCTCTATACTAGCAGTATAAAATAGGAGATGTCCTATTTATCATATCATTATTTCACAGATTTAGTTCCTGCAGATGTTGACCAAGCTCATCCTTTTTCATGTTACTGAAAAGTTTCAATTGCCTGATCAAAGCATTTTTGCGGAAAATACATGTATTGTTTATACACAAAAAAGTAGGCAGTTATGTTCAGAGATTCTCTCAAGTGCTTTCATAGAGTTGACCACATGTCACAAAGAACTTAACACAGTGAATAATCTCTTCTGTCAAGACTGCATGGACTACTTCCTCACTTATGTATGTTATTATAACCTACATGGGAAAACATTATTAGGATAAGGTATTTTTCCATGATTAGCTGCTGTAATACGAAGGGAGGCCAATCCCATGTTACCAAACCTGTTCTTTCTTCATCACCAGCAAGTGCCATAAGGACTGCTAGTCGTATTTAAGACTGCAGTTTGAGTGTGTAACGCCAAAGTATATAAGACTGCAGTTTTCTTGCACACAAAAAGGTTTTTTTATATATATATATATACACACGCATACATACACACATGTAAATAAATAATCTTTTTCATCTGACTTCAGGCAGAGGCTGACAGCATTCCGACTCTGCAACCATTTAGGAATAAATGTGAACCTGTGTTTCTTTTTTGTGTTGTAAGTACATCACATCAGTTTCTTTTAATGTGCTGCCTACTTTTGCATTAATTTTTCAGCAGATCAAGAAGAAATGTGAAGCTGTATAAATCATATCTTTACATTTTATAGTATGTAGGATCATATCATCAGATGTTGTTTACTTGAGGCTGTTTCCCGTGCCTAAATCTGTGGTTCTCAAGCACATTTGTGTTGCGGCTGCTGCACGTACAGCTACAGAAGATTTGTGGTAGCCACAGTTTTGGTAGTTAGTGAGAAATCAGTGTAAGTTTTTCAGGGTTGCCTCACATAAAGTGTCTACATGTGGCTACAGTGAAACGATTATTTTATGCACACCTTCCCTCAGGGAAAAGGAGTTTACATTTCCTGTCACTTCAGGTTTTTTAAGATAAACAACTAAAATTGCGTTTTTCACACCTGAGCAATTGTAAGAATGAATTATATCTTTATTATCTCTCCTTGATGGATACAGAAAGACTGTGCTCCTAGGACTCCACTGTAGAACACTGCTCACTTATGAGGCAGTGGGCTTTTTCAACTTGAGGGTGCTGGGATTTGAACTCCTACAACTAAGGGCCAAGAGCAATGATACTTTCAGGAGACTTTCAAGTTTGAATCTGAATGCTGCCAAGTGAATGTGCGCTCACAGCCCAGAAGGCCAATCGTATCCTGGGCTGCATCAAAAGCAGAGTGGCCAGCAGGCCCGAGGGAGGTGATTCTGCCCCTCTACTCTGCTCTGGTGAGACCCCACCTGGAGTACTGTGTCCAGCTCTGGAGCCCTCAGCATAAGAAAGACACGGACCTGTTGGAGCGGGTCCAGAAGAGGGCCATGAAAATGATTAAGGGGATGGAACACCTCTCCTATGAGGAAAGGCTGAGAGAGTTGGGGTTGTTCAGCCTAGAGAAGAGAAGGCTTTGGGGAGACCTTATTGCAGCCTTTCAGTACTTAAAGGGGGCTTATAAAAAATACGGCGGCAAACTTTTTAGCAGGGCCTGTTGTGACAGGACAAGGGGGAATGGCTTTAAACTAAAGGAGGGTAGATATAGACTAGATATAAGGAAGAAATTTTTTACGCTGAGGGTGGTGAAACACTGGAAGAGGTTGCCCAGAGAGGTGGTGGATGCCCCATCCCTGGAAACATTGCAGGTCAGGTTGGACGGGGCTCTGAGCAACCTGATCTAGTTGAAGATGTCCCTGCCCACGGCAGGGGGGTTGGACTAGATGACCCTTAGAGGTCCCTTCCAACCCAAACTATTCTGTGATTCTATGAAGTTGGCAGTATCTTTGATCACCAGTAGTTAGCTTCACTATGGTGCTCCTGAGCGTGGTAGTGCACGCACTGAAATGTAACACAAATGAAAAGATAGAAAACTCCATGTTACAGAAATTAAGAGCTAGTAAATTCCATATTTGCATTTACTTCTGACTATACTATTAATGATGAGCCTAGAAATAAACATAGGAAATGAGGCAGAAAAGGAAGGGAGGAAGTAAAATAAGAAAGGTTCATTCTGAACTAGTAGAGGCAGTAGTAGATTTCAGAGTAGTAGTATTCACTTCAGTGGGCATAGGAAGTGGTCCTGTTGCTGGAAAAAATAGCAAGATAGAGCATGTTCCAAAATTCAAGTTAATGTGTAAACTAAGCAATGAAAACTCATCGAGAGTGTTATTTTCTCTTCTACAGAATGGCAAAATTATTGCAATAGTGAGAGGTGTAAATGCTCCTCTTATAAGTAAGAAAATAACAGAGCTAGTGCAAGAAGAGAGGGAAATTACAGCTGGACAGAAGGAACGTGCCGAGGTACTCACAAAACAGATACTGAAATATAAATGAGTATTTTTATTACACTTACATGGTTTCTCTCAATGCCTGTGATAGCATTTTCCGTAATGTCATGTTTAACTTTTTGTATTTTTTTCTTGACAGTATAGTGACATTTGTGAGGGGTTTTTTTTAGAAATTTCCATTAAATGTTACTTTATAAAAACTTAAGAAATTTACAGATTAGCCTATTAATGCAAGAAATGGAGCGATGGATGAAATGTCACTAGCACATAAAGGTTTTAGTCATCTTTTTTCTTTCAGGACTGAGTATTTTTCATACATAATTTAGTAAGAATGCATTACACGAAACAAAGACATGGGAAATAGTCATGTCTCATTGCTTGTTTTGGGTGAAAATGGAGATCAAAGAACTCCGCTTACAGTAAAAGGAAACTTTTCAAACTGTAGCTCAGTTAAGGAAAATCAGGTTAGCCCAAGGTCTTTCCTAAAATTGCTCGCTTTCCTGCGTAGCAAATATGTTATTACATTAAGATAAAAGCGTTGTAAAGATCTGGCAGCTGTGTTTGGTGACTTCAGCTTCATCCTGGTGATACACTTGTACTGTATTTACAATTACCTTAGGTAGATGAACTTGTTTTCCTAGAAGAGAAATCATCAGAAGAGACTGTTGAGGAGAAGGTACCCGAAGGTAAATATATTTGATTTATTTTAGAAATGTTAACAGAAAGAAAAAGAACAAATGTCTTTTTAGTTATTTGATTAAGAATTGTGTATGTCCAGCACCAATAGACCTTCCTTTGAGTTAATAACATCAGAGGTTATGATTGAGGCTGTCAAACTGAGGGCAAGCTTTCTTCTGTAAGGAATTAAGATATTGGACTGTCATCATTAGTGTTTTCACCCCCCTTTGGGAACCTTCAGAATTCAGGTCCCTTGGCACATAGCCGCAGTGCTACGTGCCAGGAATTTTCCTGTGTAAAACTAGTACCTGAAAGCCACTTCTACACAGTCCCTGTGTTAGCTATGTACTTTTGTTGAGATGGTGCTTGTTAACCCTTGTATGGTTACAGAAACACCAAGATGGGGGCAACCTGTGAAGATTGGAAGAGTTAATCTCACAAGGAATGGCATGCCTTGTATTTCAGATTATTTTTAATTAACTCTTTCACTGGACTAGATTTAAGCACTAAAGAACAGACTTACATAAGAGCACAAATCCACAATAGTAGGATAAGGTTCCAAAAAGGTTGAAAAATATGCACCATCCTGCTTATAAGTCTTGTGTCTATGATTTATTTCAGGCTTGTCATGAGCTGGGACCTGCATCTTTTCTATTCTTACTGTTATCTGTGGCTATTGAAGCTTCCTACTGCTTCATACATGCACAGAATGTCATTTGGCAATGTTCAGATGGAATAAACTCCTCTGTCCTTTCTCTTCTTCTTTATCTTGGCTTTTTTTTCCTGTGATAAGGCATTCGATCACTGTCACAAATTAAGTTGTGTCCATTCTCCTTCCTCTTCATGTCTTCTTTAGTGTATGGTTCAAGTGACATGTTCCTGACCTCAGCTTTAAATCCTCTGAGACCTAGCAGTACAGTATTATAAATCCTTTAGCAATTACATACAGACTTTGCACTAATCCACAGAACCTAAATGTGCGACAAAATCAGGGAACAGAGTTTTCAGCTTGGGTTCAGCTTCAGGTTAGGGGATCCCTCAGAAGCCATAATACACTAACACTTTGTGGTAATATTTTCCTTAGTGCATGCAGGTGCCTGTGAGTGTTTTCTAGTATTGGAAACAAGTAGTAGTCTGGTGTTTCCGTTAGAGCTATCAAGTTCTTCTACAGTGTTTGTGATCGGATTGAATTACATGCTAACGCTTAAATGTAAACCCGATTCTGCAAAGAAAGATGTAGTTTATATTCTCTTCTGACCACTTTCTGTCATTTTGCAAGGATCTGTACGCTATGGATGTTGCAACTGTATGTCTACAACCAGGAACACCTCTTGTTTTAAACATTGGATTGTGTTAGCAAGCATTTGTTACTTCAACAGTTATTTATTGCAAATGGCTTCAGCATCCACAATGCTAAGGAAAGAAACATCTACTATGACAAGAAATGTATATTTTACTGGAAATCTCCAATATTCATACAGATTTTCGCTTAGTGAATTTTCCTTAGTAATATTCATTCCTTTCACATTTCTAGTCTTGTACATACAGAGCTCCCTAGACACAGCACATATCTTAAATAGTAGTTTTTCCACTACACCTAGCTGCATGTGAACCATTTCTCCACCATATGACCCAAAACACTACTGGTTCATCAGGAATGTAGATTCCAGGGATGGCCCAAGGACAGTCCTGGACTCCAAGACATGCTTTAAGTGTTGGAGTCACTTATTATTTGGAACCACTGTTTGGCCATCTCAACATTAAAATGGAGAATTATTTAGAGAAACCCACTTGTAAGTAATGGAAAATTCAGTTGTGTGTTTATTTTGATAAATGTATTCATTGACACATTTTTTTTCCCCTTTCCTAGAAGAAGTAGTCAGATATTCTGTTGGAATTATAAAACCTGATGATGTCTTAGAGGGACGCGTAGAGGAAATTAAACAAAAGGTAGACAAAATTTGAAGATTCATTCATCCTATTTAGCATAGGCATAGTAGCAAGATGTAAGATTAAGTAGATCCTAATTTATGCCCAGGCTTTAGAACAAGACCTGTTAATGCTTCTCTGATAGGGACGATAAAAGCAAGATAATTTTGACCTGCAATAATATGGTATTCAGATTGACATTATTGCTTTCATATTTTATGTCACTAGGTGAGGCATGACATTGATTCATACTGTGTTGATCAGCGACACGTGAAATCTACAAACAGAAAAGTGTCTTTTTTTCCTCATATTGCAATAGAAACGAGAACTAGAAATTGTGGTGAGAAGTTAATTCTTCGCACAGCGTCTTTAAGAATTGTAGGCACACATAAATCAACTAACCAGTTCCTTACGGAAGAGAGTGTGTACGCAGACACATATGACAATATATGTGTGTAGATGGTGAGGCTAATTCATGTGCACTAGTAATTGTACACTAATATTTGTCAGTAGTGCAGTATTTGTTCCTGCAGTGAAGAACGTGATTCCAGCAAGTACACAAGGGTGCATCCAAGGATTCAGCATTTGTTTAAGATATCACACAGCGAAAGAAAAATTCTTTTGCCTTCCAGAATATGATACTATAGTAATGCTCATTTCAACTACAGGAATTTCTCACTGTTTCTGTTACAAAAAATGTCCCTTAACACTACATATCAAGAAAAAATTGTGCTAATTTTTAAAAAGTGTTATAACATGGCCACTGACCGTTGCAGGAAAGAAAATCAGTGTGTTGTATAGGTTGTTTCTGCAATTACTCTACCTTGGCCAGAAAGGAAGGAAGCTCAGTAAAGGCAAAAAAAGCAGGCAGTGCTTGAAAGCAGTTTAGCTGGAGCCGAGCAGCTGCTAATTGGCTCTACCTTTGCACTGCCTTATGAGGTGTGTACCCATACTGTTTCCACACAGTCTTGTCAAGGCAGTCTGGAAACATTCAGCAGCATCATAGGGGCTTTTAAAGAGCAGAGTGCTGGTAAGCAGATTAATATTGGCATATGATCAGTATTGGGGCTGGGTAGTGCCTTTGTTGTTTAAATATTGGTATATGGTATAAAACTCGTACCGGTGGACTATGAATTTTGGTGTAGGTCATGTAAGTGTGCATCTCTTACACATATTTGAATTTAGGGCAGTAATGTAACTTCAAATAGATAATCATAAAATAGATTTTATTTTTGTTTATTTACTGTTTCTAAAGCCAACTGGTTTAGCCAAATAAAATTATTGACAAGAACACATTTATATGACTACTATGATTATAATATAGTTTATAATAATATTTTCAGAAGTGGTTGCATGTTAATCACTCACAATGGTTAAAATGAATGTATTCAATGTTAAATAAAAGGGATTATTAACTACTGAATGAATGTATACATTGAACTGCACTATGTTTTTCACAAACTTTGACTTAGTGGGCATTGTAATCCTGAATTTAGTGAAGTGCTTTGAAAAGCTGGAATTTTAATTTAGGTAAACGTAGCAGTTATATTTGGAATATTTCAGAGAATTTTCAACTTAAGACAACTTCCAAAATCAATCAATCTTTAGATTTACAATAACATATGGTTTTGTATATATCTATTTTCAAATGCCACTGAGTAATAACTGAATAATTGCAGATTAGAGTTGCAGGATTTGGCATTGAAGCAGCAGAGGAGAAAATGCTAACTGAAGAGCAAATCAGAGTATTCTATGCCCGGAATAAAGAACAGGTAAAAACAAACTGAAAACCTAAACAAAAGGAACAGGTAAAACATATCATTGTAGCTATACGTGTTTGCAAATCTTTGTCTTGTAAATTTTTAGCATGTTGAAGAACTGAATTAATGTAGATTTAGTACATAGAAAAAAGGAGATATTATCTCACTTTTTTTCTTACCGACTCATACAAATATGGCTTGGTAGCACTCTAATATTCCAACTAAATTAAGTTGAACTCCAATTAAATACCAAAAGATTTTGTAGTTCTTTCCATTATCAGAATGTGTATGACCCTTAATCATGGCCCTAAACATAGGCTGTTAGGTGCCGAAATGTAGCACAAAACCAAAATCCAGTGTCATCTATATGATAGTACGTATCTATCTGACGCATAGTCTTCCAGCCAGAAAATAAGTGATAGCACAGATTACGTTTTTTCTTCTTCACAGCTTTTATCACGGGGTAGTACTGGGAATAAGCACGTGCACAGGCAGAAAGAGAAAGCATCTCCACTGAAGTTTATTTTTCTGGCCCTATCCTATATTAGGGGACAAGAAATAGCTGAGGCCAGACAGAAAGTTCAAGAAAACAATGAAATTATGCTGGTCACCATTAAATGGCAGTGGTCTAGCAAACTAGCACCTGGATATTGTCAAGTGCTCTGGCAGTATGATAGCTAAAGTTAACTCTACAGAAGGATCTGAATGACAGAAATGAAGCTGCTTAGCAAATATTATACCTTCTCCTATTTAAGATCTGCATAAGGTAAACAGAGGCTGGAATTATATGCCGACAACTTGTTTGATATTATTAGAGGGGCCAATGGAAGGGATCAATTAAAGGGTTGGCATAATCAAAAGGAGAAGCTGGGAAAGTGTTCCTGTGGCATTCCAAATGAGAGAGAGTGAGACAAGATGGTTCCTACTGAAGACAGAGGGAAAAAAGAAATCTGATAGTAATCACCCAATGGCTGCACTATGGTTTAAAAAGGAAATAACAGGGAGAGCTTGTAAGAAATCGTGAAGAGCTTGGTTTTGGCAAAGCTGGGATTCTAGTTTAGACAGAGACAGTTTTGAAATAGACGTAAAAATAAGTTATCTTCATGGGAACAGCAGCCAAGTTTGAGATCAGTTAGGTGTACAGGGAGACATGGGAGGAACAAAGACAGGGAAAAAGTGTGCAGTGTTTGATATATGGCAGCACTACTATACTGCAGCAGATCCTAGCCAACATTAGGACAGGGAGAACCACAAAACTACTATGAACGATCAGAAGTGGTTCAGAGGGCCCTATGCATATTTGGAAGCCAATTATTTGCCATTCTTTAAGTGTAATTCTAAGCTGAAAAATAATTACGTTAAAGTGACAATAGGGAAAATAGATTCCTTTGTGTTCAGTGGGCAAAATTATTCCTGATTTAAGACTCTGCAAGCTTGCTGAAGGTCCAGAGGCTGCCTATTATAACAGAATGGAGACTCAGGGTAACAGACCTTCAGATATAACTGGAAGCAGAAATTGTTTCTTTTTAATGATGAAGCTGGGTGAGCCAGGAGAGCCAAATCTAATAGCCACATCTATTTCTTTTAATGTGAGCAAGTGTACTTTTGAAGCCACAACAGTATAGATACTCCCTTTATGCATTGTACTAAATGTTTTTGTATTTACATTCATTCTGTCTCTTTTGAGTTTGTTCATCTTGTGAAATGGGTTAAGTTTATGCATAGGTGTGAAGGTAACTGAAAGAGAAAAGCAATGAATTGAAAGCACACATGAATATTTCATCCTCGTATTATTAAAGGAAATAAGTATCATGCACAATCAGATGAGGGTGACTGGTAAAGAAAAGATTTAGTTAAATATTTAAAAGGAGAGAAGATACTTGAGGAAATTCACAATATTGAAGAAAAAGGTGACATACAAGAAAAAAAAAGATTAAAAACTCACAACAGCTTCAAAAGTTATTTTCTGATGAAAATGTACATTTATAGGATTGAAGGTTGAAACTGAAGGAGTGAAAAGAACATAGCAAAGAGAATGAAGGAAAAGCCTACAAATGTCTTGCAAATATCTCAGTGTTCTGTATTTGCAGCCAGCTACAGGATTTTTAGTTTCAAATATTATGCCTAGAACCGTATTGCAGTTTGTTTTGTCACACTATATGTGCTACTGCAAGCACAGCATTTGATCACATCGAGTTTCTAGATCATTTTCTTCACTCTTGTCATTTGCATTTTAACCTGGAAGAACATGTGGTACTTGCTTAATGTAATTTTATGACTTCATTTACCTCAATTAATTGTGTTTTAGACATTTTATAGTGGTGTTGTCTCAAATGATTGATCAAAAAACTTCCCAAACCATTTGACAGGATTTTGAGTAATGTATGTGAATGTCATTTTAGAATGGGGATTATGAATTACTTTGGAAAGGATGGTCGTCTCATTTCTGATGATAAACTCAGAGTTCCTGCAATTCATAGGGGAAAATTATGTTTTTTAGCCTGATTTTGATGTTTTTGTTCAATTCATGATGAGTGGACCATGCCACGTTTTGGTAATCACTAAAAAAGAAGCAACTGGTGCTATTCCTCACTGGAAAGAACTACATGAGAGTGTGCCTGACTGCTATTCCTCACTGGAAAGAACTACATGAATCGAGTGAGAGTGTGCCTGATGAGCCTGAGGCTGAGAAGCCAGACAGGTAACTACCAGTGAAAATGTGTATATGCGATTCAGTTACAGTATTCAGAGCACACCACAAACCAAGGCACATTCTTGCAGACGCTCACATGCCCGTGTGCACAGGGTCCAGAGAATAGGCAGAGTTCTTCACCTGGTCCTTCACAAGACCATCACTAGAGATGCAATCACAGTTCCTGTGGGAACATAGAAACTCCTTGCTTCCTAGGTAAAGACAACAAGCAAAGGGCGCTGATCTCTTGCCATTTCTGAACTAGCCTTGAATGGGTTGTCAGACTGATGGGAACAGTGCTATACTTCAAAACTGATGTACTCCATGCAATTCCACTTCATACTAGTTCGTCCAGACAAAGTGACTGCCAGCATTGCCCATTGAGGGTTGCACTCTTGCCCGTGTTTACTCCTATGTATGCTGGGAAGCTGTAGATGCAGCCCAAGGGAGACTAGGGGACACCTGAAGCATGCTGAGCTCCCTGTGACCACTCTGTAAAAGCCAGCAAACAAGTGGGAGGATTTTGGGTTTTGTTCCCCCCTTCTCCAGATGCATAAAAACGTTGTAAGGATTAGCTGTTCACAACCATGGTATCTTGAAGTGTCTGTTTTTCTCCTATGCCAAGTATTTGTAGAGAATTTTAAAGAGGATGATAGTTGTATATGCAGTATCACACAATAAAGAGAGTGCTCACAAAAATTCAAATATTGGATTAAGTTTTATATTTAGACAAGAGATTTACTTAAAGCAACATGAATTTAAATATGTTGTTCCAAAAAAGAACTTGTCATAATAATTGATATTTTTGTTGATGCCTGCTGTATCCCTTTTTGCATTAATTTAGTACAACTGGGGAATATTGCATTTTCTGTGAGTGGCCAAGGGTGACTGTATTTACATAGCTAAATAAACCTTAGAAATAGAGGCAAGTAACAATGAGAAGTATCTCTGTTAAAGACAATTCTGTAGCTTTTATGATCATGATGTACATGAACTAAGCACAATCCTTTTATTGGTCACTCATTATATACTGTACACTTGTCAGTAGTAATTCTGTCTAGTGAAACAGAGAGACTATTTTGAATAAGCTAGAGGGGAGTTAGAAAAACTGCATGGCTGAGATTTTTCTTTCATAGCACATGACAAGGCACTTTTTGAGAAGATTAATAATTCTCTTTTCAGAAACATTAATCATGAATCTGAATTTAATAAAAACTTCATTTGGCATTCTATTCTTATGTCTCACTAAACTTTAAGAAAGTCCATCTTCAAGAAGTCAACGGTTAACACAATGCATGCAGTGACTTAAATGCTGTATTACTTCGTGTCTCATTAGGTTGGAAGGAACTGTGGAAACTGAGAGTATATTAAATATATGGGATGTGCAAGACAGTGTAGAAGATGCCAGCAGACAGCTTGCCTTCTTTTTCCCGAATTTTGATATAAAGAAGACAGACCAAAAAGTTGAAAAGACTTTGGCTTTAATTAGACCTTCTCTTTTAAAGGAAAGACGACGTAAGTGTTAATAACTACATTTTCTATCTAGGGTATATAAAAATTCTCATATTTTGAATTTTAAAAATTCTGACTCTATTAAAGAAATGTTCTTAGGTTATATTGTCTCCCCAGCATTAAGTCCACAGCAATCTTTGTCAGGAAAAAAATTAAATAGTTAATGTTTGTAATATTGAGAATGTGAATGTCAATGCTATTTTGTTCCTTTGGTTGATTTTTCAAGAACGTCTTTAGATTGTGTATTTGGATGGAATGTTTCTAGAAGACCTCTTAGAGAAGCATTTTCGAAGTATAGTATAGGGGATCATGCTTCCCACCATAATAAAGTAGCTGATACTATTCTTGAATGGCAGGTCCAAGGTAGATCAATGGCAAGGTGAAAAGGATCTGACCCAGGATGTCCTATGCCGCATAAGGCAGTGCTGCACAAAGGCAGGTCTATACAGACAATGTTTTTACAGATTAAGTAAAAAAATCTACCCCATTAGCATGAAGCTCCGTCCAAACAAGTTTACTTTTCTTCTCAGGCGTATATTTGCATTTCTTCCTAGATTCTAGATAGCATTTTTATTTCTAACTTGAAATAACTTATACACAGAGATCTGAAAGACTACAATTTTGACATCTCCTTGTGTATTTATTTTCTTGATTGTTATCTAGTACGTTGCTTAGAGCAGCAGTTCTGCAGTCCATGTGTAGGTAATTATAGAGTCATTTTGACTTGTGCCAAATACTGCTTACTTACGCATGTGGTCTTGTAAGACTTAGTTAAATGAATATCCACCTATTCAAAATCCTTAGACTTTCTTTTGATGATAGTAACACATATAATATTTCTCACTCAGAAATCCCTACTGAGGTTTCTGAAGTGAGAGAAAGCCTTAAGAAAATGAGCATCAGCTTTCTGAGTGTCCAGGCAACTACTGAAGCCCTCTAGCAGTTGCTTTAAATTAGTATTCTGTTCTTCAGTTAGGAAATTAATTTACCTGTAAAAATTTAACATTATGATTGGAAAGGCCATGTCATTTCTTCACAAGTATGCAAACTAATGAATGGATAGCAATTTAGCATTACTTCGATATATTAAACAGATTCTATCATGCAAAGAATAAAGGATGATGGCTTCAAAATAGCAATGCAGAAAGAAATAATCCTATCTGAAGAACAAACACGTGAATTTTACAAAGAGCATGAAAATCAAGACTACTTCCCAGTCCTTCTAGAGCAAATGACCAGGTATGTTGAATGAAAAATGAGAATGTGGATCTATAAATAAGATGGAAATTTTCACAATGAATAATTAGCCTGAATAATACATGGCTACAAGATACCTGTGTATCTGAGAGTTTAGTAAAACTCAAAACAGAATCAGACAACTGCAGATAATGAGCTAACTGCCAAGTATAGCAGATAAATAAATGAGATTTTTAAAAATTACTAGCTACTCCATATCTCTGAATGTATGATGTTGAAGTCAGTGGCCAATTCCATTAATTTGGGTGAAACCAGTTGAGCTCTGCTCTGGAAGGCTGCATTTAGGTTGTCTGCAGGAGAGCTCTGAAATCTTCCTCCAGGCTGTGTGCTGGATTCCTTGGGGAGGAAAAATAAATCATGTTTGGATATTGCCTTCATATGAAGTTGGGTGTCATGGTTTAACCATAGCTGGCCACTAAGCACCACACAGCTACTCATTCACTCCCCCCCAGTGGGATGGGGGAGAGAATCGGAAGAGTAAAAGTGAGAAAACTCATGCGTTGAGATAAGAACAGTTTAATAGGCAAAGCAAAAGCCGCTCACGCAAGCAAAGCAAAACAAGGAATTCATTCACTACTTCCCACCAGCAGGCAGGTGTTCAGCCATCTCGAGGAAAACAGGGCTCCATCACATGTAACGGTTACCTGGGAAGACAAACACCACCACTCCGAACATCCCCCCTTCCTTCTTCTTCCCCCAGCTTTATATGCTGAGCATGACGTCATATGGTATGGGATATCCCTTGGGTCAGTTGGGGTCAGCTGTCGGCTGGGTCCCCCCTCCCAACTTCTTGTGCACCCCCAGCCTACCTGCTGGTGGGATGGTGTGAGAAGCAGAAAAGGCCTTGACTCTGCTGTCGTGGCTGTGTCCCCTCCCAACTTCTTGTGCACCCCCAGCCTACCTGCTGGTGGGATGGTGTGAGAAGCAGAAAAGGCCTTGACTCTGTGTAAGCACTGCTCAGCAACAACTAAAACATCGGTGTGCTATCAACATTATTCTCATACTAAATCCAAAACACAGCACTGTACCAGCTACTAGGAAGAAAATTAACTCTATCCCAGCCGAAACCAACACACTGGGATATGGCTGGGACAAAAACTTAGGAGCTGATCAGCATTTTTATGTCTAATAATAAAGACATAGCCCAATTCTATAACATTCTTGCTGTTGTGGTAACATTCAGTAACTTTGAAATACAAATTCATGTTTAAGCCCCATAAGGTTTTATCAGACTGTAGCTGTTTAAACAGAGATCGATTTTAAAATTGTCCAATACTAGGGCTCATTTTTCTAGCCTGGACTACATATAGTCAAATTACTTTTACAAATTACGGAGTTTAATTTTTTTTTTTTAATGCCAGTTTTCCCATTTTACAGTGGTCCGACTCTTATACTTGCTCTAACACGAGAAAATGCTGTAGCACACTGGAGAGATTTATTAGGCCCAAAGACTGTTGAAGAGGCTAAGAAGGAAAATCCGAACAGGTAATACAATAGTAAACCAGCATTCACAGCTTCCAATTTACTTTTACATTCCTCATCTCAATGAATACCACATTCCAACTGGTGTAACTATAGTGCCATCATCTGGAAACTGATATATATTTCTGCAGTTAAGCTTTTCTTGGAAGAAGTGTTGTATTACACATAGAAACTATAGCATTTTTTGAGAACTAATGGTTGCTAAACATAATGAAAAGCTCAGTTTAAAAAAAGGTATTGAAATTAAAGGAGATCTCTTGAGTCAGAGAAAAAATATTGGTAATATTTCTATCTTATTATTTTTTTTCTTGAAATAGCACCATTATTTTTCAGAACAGATGCTTATTTTCTCAGCTTAATGAAAACTTTGCATCAGTAGAATATTTTATTTGTGACTAAGTTTCTCCTACACATTTTATAAATGGACATCTTAGTTTTACCTGCTTATCGTACTGTTCTAAGAAACTGCTGTGGTATCATCTTACCTGTTGTTGACAGAAGTGCTCTTTCATTAAAAAAGAACCGGTATTATCTTGGAAATATAACAAGATGAGAGTTGGGAGGGAAAGTGTTCATATTTCAGGTGGTTAATTAAAAAGTTGATTGTTCTTTTTGTAGACAATGAAGGTTTCCTACTCCTACAGAGAGATCATCAAGCACTTAAGTTGCCACATCAACATTAATTTGTATTCTCGGGATTAAGGCTAGTCATAGTTAAAGCTCAAAATGGCTATTCCTTTAAGTAACTTCACTCTTTTAATGACTCTTAGTTTACGTGCAAAGTATGCAGTCAACAACATACCTATTGATCAGCTGCATGGTAGTTCTACACCCGATGATGCTCAGAAGGAATTACAGTTCTTCTTCCCTCAGGAGCACACTTTGGCATTAATCAAACCTGCTGCTGCTAAGAAGCATAAAGGTAAGTGATCTAGAAAGTATGGGCTATGTCTAGTGATGTAATTTCTACAAAATATTGGCAATGTACACTGCAGTAAATCATGTCAGATGTATTCTTTTTATTCTCTGAAATACTTTTTCCATGCAGAGAAATGCTTTTACAGGGCTTGCATAATTCATATTGAGGTCTCAAATGTGACATTTCCTTTGCTGCCTATAGCTCTTCCTTCGCAAGAATGGTGGTGAATTGAAGTGAGAGTTCTTAGCTAAGTTACACAGTTTAAAAGCCAGGCACTTGTGCAAACTAGCTGCCCAGCATCCTTCTAAGTCAAAGGAGAGAGAGGCTTTCCAAATTCATGTTACTTATTTCAGACAGGTATCTCTACTGACTCAAAAGGGGTCATTGCTCAATTAGATGCATTCCCATCCTTAGTTTAACTTGCCATCAGACAAAGGGAATAAGGAGGAAAGATCAAAGCAAAAAGAACACTATGTACAATCTGGAATCTTACCTTAAAGATTTTTGCTGCCACTTTTTTTAAACCCTATATCCAGAGCCTCTTCCTGGCATTCTTCTGTGTCCTAACAAATTTCAGTAGTCTTTCTAATGTTAATTCATCATTGGCTTTTGTGAGTCTTTCTTCCCCTCTTGTAACAATCCAGATCGATTTTAGCAGGCCAGCTGGTGTGTGATAGAGCATTACAACTACAGTCCACGTTCTGTCCAATGTGAGAAACAGCAGTGAACGCTACTGGTATAGTTTATAACAGTCTGGGTTTGTCACCTGCATAGGGATGGCTTAGTGCAATGACAATGGTTTCTGTATACTTTAGAGGACTGTTGAAGTGTTTGTCATATTGTCCATGATTGTTTTATATTGTAAGTAAAATTTTAATAGGTATTGGTGATTTTTTTAAAAAAGCATCTAGTATTTTCTGCAACTTTTAAAGTTTGGGTGGTTTTTTGCATCTAAACTATTTCAATCAAGAATGAGTTTACTTGTTATTCTCCTAGACCACATTATGCAAAAAGTTCAAGATGCTGGATTTACCATCTCAAAGATTAAAGAAGAAGCTTTAACTCGTGAAATGGCTACACAGTTTTATAAGGACCACAAAGGAAAACCCTTTTTTGAACAGTTAGTGACTTGTATGACTGAGTAAGTGTCTCGTTATACAATACTGAGGTATGTAAGTATAAGTCAAACTTTGAATTTACAGTGCTAACAAACATGTTACACCCAAAGTGGGCTAAGGGTTTTACACTCTGTCACTCTTTCTGGTAAGTTTAGTGGTTTCTAGCATGGAGTGCTCTTCCTTTAAAAGGAAGATTTAAAATTATTTCCAAACTTATGGATAGTGACTATTATTTTGGATATTTTTTCCTCAAAAAAGAACTAATTTCTGAGGGAATCCTTGTTCTTCCCATGTAGGACAAATATCTTCCTCATAATATTGTTAGTATAGCTGTTGATAAAACAGTATGTATTATCTTGCTTCAGAAATTATTGGGTGAGAATCTTTTTAGGACAAAAAGTCTAAATCCAAATAGCTGATCATCATAATCTTTTTGGCTTTCAAATACAGGATATTGTCTTAAACAAAACACTCAGAAACAGATTTTAAAGTTTAAAGAGTTTAACAAAATTCAGATAGCGTAATGCTTATCATAACCCTTTGTGGTACCTCTGAAGTCAAAGCTAAGTCTGCATCTCAGAATAGTGTAAAAACTTCCTTATATTGATTTTACAGGGGCCCATCGGTGATAATGATCTTAACAAAGGAAAATGCTGTGGAAGAGTGGAGGCAACTAATGGGTCCAACCGATCCAGAATTGGCAAAAGAGACCTCTCCTGAATCAATTCGAGCTCAGTTTGCACAAGATATTTTGTCTAATGCTGTTCATGGATCATCTAATAGAGAACATGCACTGAAAAGCATTGAATGCGTATTTGGAGAGATTGATATTGATTGAACAATTAAGATGCAATCTCTGAAAACTGATATTCATGTCATTAGACGCATTTGTCTACCCAACCACCTATATTTAAGACTATATATACACACGTATTTTCCTACTCCATCCATTTTTTTATCAGCCAGTTTTTTGTTATCAGCTTTGCCATATTGCAAAGCATATCAATGTAAAAAGTAATACCTGCTAGAAGTTTGACGTTAGTAATGATTTCTTTATGTATACCTAGTAGTTAGTTTTTCTTTTATCACTTTAACAGATTTATGCTTTTCCAATAGTTCCAGGAGTCTAAGGTTTTTGTATATAACTACCTTAAAAAAACAGGGTCAAGGAAGGTCATTAAAACACTATTAAATGGCATGTCCACTGTGATGTGGATCAAGTCCTCCAGTTTAGGCAGCCTACAAAGGAGAAATGCTGAAAGGTAGTGGAGGCACTGCTACAACATTGGTGGGGAGCAACAGCAAGTGTGGGAATGCTCCACAAGGGAGAAGAAGCCAGGAGCCAAGCACGACCGCAGCACAGACTGCGCCCTCACCAGTGGGGTGGAGCCCCACAGCATCCAAGCAGAACTGAGTAGCCACATCCATCAACAATCCCAGATAAAGCAAGTAATGAACCAGGTCCAGGAGCCATTCAAGGGTCCAGTCAGGAACATCAGGCGAGAGGGCCAGAGACAGGTATTCCTGCAACACAGCTCAGGCAAGGATTAAGCCCAAGTGTGAGCTTAAATGGGGCTCCTGGGCCTGTTGGCCGACGGTATGGGTGTGCATCGCGGGTGAGACTGCTCAGGGCTATTAAGGCCTATTGGTTCCCTCAGGGCCCTGAAAAACATTTGCATTGTTTGTTTATCCTCTCCCTAAACATCTTCTAATGATTACTGTCACAGGTAGGATAATAAATTAGAAGGTCCTTTCCAGTCCATTTACTCAATTCAAATATATCAGATGAAGTAAAATATAAAGTCAGCTCTTACATAAAAGGTATTCTTGACATATACCTCCTTGCCAAACTAGTGAATTTGTATCCTGTCTCAGTTTAACTTGGCTGGCCTTCATGAAGAACACAAATATTCTTCTGTAGCTGATATATTCTCACTTTTGCTGTCCGAGTCTGTTGAAGGTTGGGATACTAAAGAATGGCATTCAATTAAAGCAATTTACTTACGGCATTGATTATAAGTGTGAAGTCCAGAAAGAACGAAGTCTTTCTCACACTTTCTTTATTGTTCCTATTGTGTTTAATACAACTAGCTTTTTTAAAGAGCTTCCTGACAAATATTTCTGTTGTGATGGGGCATTTGTTATTATAGACATTCCTCCAGCAGAAGTTGGACTGAGCATTCTCCTGGTGGCCCATTTTCACCTACAGCTGCTTTACTGCCATAAACTCGACTTGAGGCTAGCTAGCCTGGAGGAAGTTGTGATTAGTGCAGAATTTATATGTTGCCTCGGTGAGGTGAGTTCCGAGAAGCACACTTCAGAATTGCTGTATGTTCTTTGGCTTGTTTTTTACTTCAGAAACCCATTAAAACTGTTCTTCCTGGCATTATTTCAGCACTCTGGGTCTTTTGGGTGCTGGCACGTTGTACTTTAAACCAAGAAGCAGTCTCAGAAAAGTTCCGAGTAGGGCATTTCAGATACATCAATTCAGCTCATTTCTGGAGATCTTTGCTAGAGTTAATGGCTTCTCTACCAATGGGGCAAATACAATGTTGCAAGTTTAGATGGGATTATTTTTTGACAGGAGCAGAAATGCTGAAAACAGCAAAATGTGTTTATATCTTTAGAAGAGTTCATGAAACTTCTGATGGAAGTTCACAATCAAATAGCTTGATAGGTATCATGCACAGGTTTTGAATACTGTGGATAATTTTTGCACTGGTCTTAGAAATTTCAGCTAGCTGTAGGGGTACAGTAGCTCTGCCTGTTTAAGTGTGACATAATTTTATATACTGAGTTATTGCTTGTTTAACCATCATTCTTCATCCTCCATTACATCATTCTTGATCAATATAGCATTTTTTTCAGTTTGGTTTAACTATTAGATGTTGAAGGATTCCATTTATTTGGGTTCATATATTCATGTGTGTCAATTATGATCCCTGTTTTGTACTTGGTTAAAATGATCCAGTAGATTACATTGAAATATTATGCATAGATCTATGACAGTTTTTCTTCGTACTGCGTAAAGATCCAAACCCAAATTAAATGTGGGAACATTTAATTTATTAATGCTTATTTTCTTCTCCTAAATATGTTCTTGATCTTAATGTCTTTTAGCAGCTTTGGAAAGGAGGAATTTAAGAGATACATTAAAAAAAAATAAAAATAACTGTTTCAGTCAGCTGATGAAGAGATTCAGATTCACGAAGGTTTTATATCTTTGGGATACAGACTTTTGTAAAATTATCAAAATATCATGCATTCAAAAGCATGGTAATGGAAATACTGTCAGTATTTTAAGAGATTACTTTGTCTCTTTAAAAGTTTAACCCAACACTTAAGTATTGTACACACAATTTAGACTGCCATCCGCTCTTCTTCAAATTTTATACTACTGTGACATAGACATGGATGCAATTTTTAAGAGTTTGAGCACTTGTGATGGGATCGGCAGGCATTTGCATTTATAGAGTCAGGAGGAATGTGTTCCAACATAAACTCCATTGAGTCTCACAGATGAAAATCTTCTTGCAATTGCATTTACACAACTCCTCTGCCTACAAATCTTACAGGAAGTCTGACTCTGTCCTTTTATCTCATATCTAAATGCCAGATCAAAAAAGAATGTGACCTTCACGACCGTTTATTCAGAAAATATCTCGTGGTTCAGCATAGAATTAGGTGGTGCAGAGATGTCATGAAAATTCTTCCAACACTAACAAAAGATAACACAATTATTCTTCTGATTTTTGTCCCAGCAGGAGAGAAATGGAACCACAGGTCATATTTATTTGTACAACAGACCACATATTTCCTTGTTTAGGAACTTTGATGAAATCATAATCTGACACTAAGACTATATTAAAGATCTGTTTCAGTTTAGAGTGATAAACAAGCTGGTTCTAAATCTCAAAATGCTGTTTAAGAAGAATTGGTATGTCTGATTGTAGTGAGTATTTGTACTGATTACTGCATAATAAAATGAGAAGTGGGGAAAAAGCTTTTTTTCCCACCAAGAGGATGGAGTCAATCAGCTTGTGGTTGTGTACTGCTGCACTGTTTTTCCTTTGCTCTGACTGCTGAATGAGCTACACTGGCAAGTCAGACCTTGCAAGTATCTATTCACTTTATCCACAGTTCTTTGGGAGCAAATGATTACCTTTCTGATTACCTTGTTCCGAGGAGAAATGCTGATGTGCTCCGAGTATCTACAAACTAAAGTTTTCATCATACTGTAACCAGAAGGAAGCAAAATACTTAGGGTGTCGGTCTGTTTCGGACATCTCTTCATCACTCTGACGCATCCATTAATCTTCTATCTGTAGCATAGATCGTCTGACATATTTAAGGTACTTTTGGGTTTTGATCTTAGTATTCTTATCTAGAGAAAAGGAGTGTGTCCTCCCTTCCAGATGCTTTCCTTTATGCTTATTGCCATGCCGGTTTATCCACAAGCCTTTTGGCAGCAACAACAGGAGCCAGTCTGATATGAACAGATTACCTGGAACCCACTGAATTTATTGCATCTTTAAGAAACAAGTTTGAAATCCTGTTTCACCTTCCAATAAGGCTGGTGTTCAATTTCAGAGATGTTACAAGAGATATAGTGTCAGCAGTTGAAATTAAATGTAGAGCCTTGACTAGGTCTAATTAGAAGTAATGTACCTCTATAGAAATTAAATACTTATTGTAGGTCCTTGCAAGTTATCCTTTTTTACCATAAGTGGAAACATAATTTTGAATCTTTGTTGACCCATATTGATGAATTTATATTTATTTACAAAAATTAATTTGAGCTGATGTGGTTTACCAGAAAAATCTGGTTGAGGAAATGTTTTCAGATGTGCGTTTACATTCAACTACTAAGCGCAACCAAAAAGTGTGTGTCGGTTGTGCATAATTGGAGTAAATATTTTTTCAGGTTTCATTCATTTGGAATCTAGGTTACAATGCTGGATAAAATAATTTAAGAGCTGTTTGAGTATTTTGGACTGGAAAATCTTCTTTTTATTTGTACAGGAAGCACTTCTCAGTTATATGCAATGACTGGACAAAAGTAACAAAGCTGCAATGCCGAATTGAATTGAAGTGACCGGGTCATTCAGGTCCTGTTGGAGGGGGTTTATGACATTTTTTAAAATGTGGTTCATAAAAGAGTTCTGATTTGCATTTACAGTGAGCTTCTAAAATGGTTCCAATTATTCACAAAAAGAGTAAATATTTTTTCAGGTTTCATTCTTTTGGAATTGAGGTTAGAACATTCAGTGAAAATATTCTTACTAAACCGGGTACATCTGTGTGGGAGGTAGTAAGAAACGCACCAGAAACATCTGTTTGGTGTTCCAGGCAATTTTTATTTTATATTAAAAAAATGCCAAGCCCCTCAGCTGTAACACTGAGAAAAAACATCTGACACTCCAAGTTTTGGCCTGTTAATTTTTTCAGCTGTAAATAGGTACAGTAATTACTTTCGTCCATCAGCAGACTATTTGCCCACTCTGCTAAACCGAGGTTTCACGACTCCGGTGCCGGGGTGCACTAGCATGGCAATGACTACACCTACCCGCAGATGTGCACGAGGGGAGGTGAGTCTGACTTTTTGCCACATGCCGGGGAGCAGAAGTGCTGAGTGGGCCACGTGGGGACGCAGGAGGGTAGATTTGCCTGCTCAAACAGCCCTCGCTGCTCCGACGTCTGTTTTGCACCTTCGCAAGGGAAGGGCAGCGGGCTGGAGGGCGGGGATGTTCGGGGTCTGCATTCAGCCGGCATTTGATGTCGCAGAGAGTTAATAATTGTAAGGGATTTTCAAAGTGGAGTGAATTATATTGGTGTTGA